GTTGAAGTCCACAAGTCTTAAAAGTTGCACTCCTGGCAAAATGCCCTTTAGCCAAGGATGGGGTTATACTGGTTCAGGCAAACCGGTGGCTCCAGTGATCATTTGGTCTCTGCCCTTTTCCTGGGCTTTTATTTCCTTCTTTTTGCACACAGCTGATTCATGAGGCAGAATGGTTTTTCACGCACATCAGCTGTTTTACTCACTGGGGCTGCAGCAGAAGGTAATTATTATAGCTAAATGTTGGGCATGCACACGAACTGGTTGTTATAATCTCACCACTGCCTTTAGCACTGAAAAGCACATTTAGATGCCCAAATCTTATTTCTTTATCAACTTACACCTTCTTAGCAAACGCTAAATAAGGTTGGCTTGGAGGCGAGATGCAGAATTCTTGTCTGGATTTCCTTTTCAGAGTCCACAGCGCATAGGAAAAAATCCCTGGTGTGGGATCTTGCCGTGTCTCCACTCTCGGCCTCGGACAACTTATACGGTGCCAGTTGTTGTTCTTTTAATGGCAATTTTAAGCTCTGTAATCCACCTCCTCTCTCTTCCTCTCGGGGCCCCCCCAAATCCCCTTTTCTCCTTAAAGCGCAGCTGCAACATAAGCATCTCTCCTGTCATTGTGATCTCATTTGCTAGGAAACCAGCATACATTGTGTGATGTCACACCTCGTCCCCAGCTAAAAGCATTGTGATGTTCTAGAACTCTTTCCTGAAGCTCCTGCTGGATAGCCTCTTATTTTTTTTTTTAAATAGACCTGCCGGCACTTTACTCCGGCATGGTTCGACAACCAGCATAATAATGGCGACCGCTGAAAGTTACCTGGCTGATCACAGGGAATTGGACGCTCTTCCCGCCGTGCAGACTCATCCCGCTTCAGACGAAGATGAGGCCGTTCCTCCCACGATTCCCCTCCCCGCCACCCCCCTGCACGACAAAACCGCCGCCGGTGACTTCGCCCTGCGGTCGATGCTTGAAGAGAACGCCTTCCAAGCGTTGAGCGACGGGCCCTGGGCGAAGCGGCCCCGCCTGTCGCTCTGCGAGGAAGTCGGTCTGGAAGACAACGATTTCCTCTCGCTCACGTTCCCCAAGAAGCTCTGGAAGATTGTGGAGAGCGACCAGTTCAAGTCTCTCTGGTGGGATGACGAGGGCAGCTGCGTGGTGATTGACGAAGAGCTGTTCAAGAAGGAGGTGCTGGAGCGCAAAGGGCCTATGCGCATCTTTGAGACGGACTGCATGAAAAGCTTCATCCGCCAGCTGAACCTCTATGGCTTCAGCAAGATGAGGCAGAACTTCCAACGGTCGGCCTCCCTGGTCGAGTTTTTAGCGGAAGAAAAGGCCGCGTATGCCTTCAGCAAGGTAAGGCCGTTCACCAAACCAGTTAACGGTGGTTCCACCCTCTTGTATCCATCATGATGGGTTCATGTCCTCTTGCCATACCAGTATTGCTGGCTCCACTTCTTGTATCCACCACAATGGGTCCACATCATCTTTTGCTAGATCAGTATTGGTGGTTTCACTTTCTTGTATCCACGATGGGTTCATGTCGTCTTTTGCCAAACCAGTAATGCTGGTTCCACCCTCTTGTGTCCACCACATTGGGCTCACACCATCATTTGCCAAACCAGTAACAATGGCTCCCCCTTCTGTATCCACCACGATGGGTTCATGCCGGCTTTTGCCAAACCAGTAATGGTTTCACTTCTTGTATCGACCATGTTGGGTTCACACTGTCTTTTGCCAGACCAGTAATGGTGGTTCCACCTCTTGTATCCACCACGCTGGGTTCACACCATCACCTTCCTTCTCCCACGGATACAGAATGCCAACGGTTCCTGGCAAAAAGAATTGTCGACATTGTGAATGAACATGATTCAAAAAACATCCAGTACATGCATGAAATTAATGGACAAAGGAACAGGATCTTTCCTGGTCCTCTCCTAAGATCTATGCTCATAAATGGAAGATTTGTTTCATCAAACATAGGGAAGATGCTAACTGAATGCAGGATAGGTTTCTTACAACCTACTAGATATCTTGATTGTGGCTAAATTCACGCAAAGTGGCTCAATAGATTGTGTGAACCCAGACATTTACAGCTTTTTTTCTTCTAAAGGTAAGTGTCCTCTGCCTTCATGTGCAGGATTATTCCAACCTGTGAGTCATTACCATTAAACCACTATAAAGATGGTTTATTTTAGTAAAGCAGGAGCCCATTCTGCTAAGCCATTAAGACAACTGTGGGGTGCTAGTTTTGCTCAAGATGGTTGGACAAGTGTACTTCAGGCACACTCGTGTTGCAATTATAACTTGTAGAGCGAACATTTAAAAAAAAATGTCCCATTTTATATTGCATTGCAATAATAGTGGTATAATCCATCTTCAGGATTCAATATCCTGGTGAATAATTATTTTGATACAGGACACTGGATAAGGGCAATATCAGGGCATGTGCCTCTTTGTCTTGTTTTGGATATATCATTTTTGAAGTGGCTCATGTCGGCTAAATTAATAATTTTCCATCGAGCAGACAATTCGGTGGCTTTTAGCTGTTCTCCCAAATCCTCCTCCATTCTGTAGAGAGCACTTGCCTTATCTTTTAATATTACAAACCGCTCTCCTAACATTTGGGCAACACCGCTAACTTTAGACTCATGTTATTCTGTAGGCTACAATACCCCTCTGTATTCATGAAAAGGGTCGCAAATCGAGCGTTATAAATCAGGAAAATTACACGTAAACCACTTTGCTCCTTCTGGACCAGGGATGGCAAAACCTGGGCACTCAGCATGTCATAAATTTGGAAAATGTCTGAGTTGACTCCGTTATCATGTCACTGCCCACCCCACCCAGTGAACAAAAGAGAAACAATTATTTCTATATTCATTGTGTGTTTTTTTTTTAAATAAAAAATTGCAGTCCAATTGTGTGCCACTATGTAGTGTATCAAGGGTCTTCCAAACTTGGCAAGTTTAAGACTTGTGGACTTCCAACTCCCAGAATTCCTGAGCTAACATGACTGGAGGAGGAGGAATTCTGGGAGTTGAAATCAAAAGTCTTAAGGCTGTCAAGTCTGAAGATCCCTGTGGTATATAAAGAAACATCAAATAATTACAAAAATCAGATACAAGTAAAACTCATTTACGGAGAGTCCAGAGACTGCGCAGGAGCACAGATTTCTCACGAACTTCCAGAAAGCCTGAAGTGAGAACTGAAGTGAGGGCCATTCTCGTGTGGCCCTCAAAAACTCGTACAAGAACAGGGTGTGCCTTCATGAATAGCTGTTGGACACTAGCATGCCCACCTGAAACTTTGTGGTGTGTCACCTTTGACACGCATGTCCTTGGTTAGCCATCCCTGTTCTTGCCTCTCCATTTAAGAGGAGGTCCTTGTGATAGCCCAAAGAGGCGTGGCACAAAGGCAACACAGTCAAATAAGCATTAGGAGTCCCTTTATTATCTCCCACTTTGCCCCCAATGTCCAGGTTACCTTCAGCTGGAGAAAAAGTCTCCCAGGAACAGCCTTTAACTGTAGAAAATTCAGTCCAAAACAAGGTACACACGACTGTAACTAAAAATCCAAACAAACCAAGCTGAAGTAATTAGCTTGACAGGGCAGGAGAAGGAATTTCAGACTTGAAAGCACAGCAAAACTCACACAGTTGGGAAGATGCCAGGAACACAGATAAGCCATGACAATACAAGATAAATTCACATTTTCTCCCAACAGCTTGCTGTGCGCAGCTTCCTCTTTTATACACTGTTCCCAGCTGCAGCTAATGAAGGGAATCAGGGCCCTTTCCTCCCCCGTAAGCCACGCAACTCATGTTGTTCCCTTCTCCATTCCTCCCTGTGTGCCCTAGGATGAAGAGGGGGTGGGCTTGGGTCTTCTTCTGAATTCCCTCTCCCTTGCTCTACCTCTCCCCTGCTCTGCCCAGCCGGACTTTGCCCTTCCCCAGTTTCTTCCACAGCCAATGGAGCCACACTCCCACTCCCTGTCAGCTGCTCAGCTTCCCCCTCCAAGTCAGATTCTGACAGGGTCATCACAGTTCTCTTAAGAGAGATTTATATCTTCTAAAAATACATCCATCTGAGCTGATGTTTACCATTGGTTTTTCACGAAACTTTAGAAACCTCAGTCCTTAGCTTCAATGGACAGTGTCCAAGAATTCTGAATTTATATGCTGCACTGAGTGTAGGACCCAAAGCGATTTACGTTGGAGATTGGGAAAAATGTCCTCTATTCAGGGTCAGAAGTTAAAAAATCAAGACACGATGAACTCAAAGGAAACTTTTAATTGGCTTTTCCTTACTTCCTTTCCTTACACCAGAGATTATGCATTTTCCTTTTGCCTTAGAAGATTAACCACCTCCCATTTTCCCCCCCACCATCTCTAGCTCCAGTTCTACCATAACCCCAATTTTAAGAGAGGATGTCCTCACCTCCTCGCGAGGTGCAAGCGAAGAGTTGGAATCAAAAACATGCCGCCCGTTGCTTTCTCGCTAGAGGAAGATTTTGGCGAAATCTGTCTGAAGAGCAGATCCGGAAGCCCAGAAGGTCCACCTTCCCTGGGATCTCCT